TCCCCTGAAGAGCATGCCAGCTTTCACCTTCCTTAAGATGAAGTAATTTAACATACTAGGTATGAAAGAAGGATTAACAATACAAGGAGGAAAGATTGGCATTTCTCCTTCCTTCTGATAGTTGTGAACAAGAATACTGAAGTTCTGACTGTGGATTACTAAATTTTAGCAATACTGATTAAATAATAAACCAATATAAAGCCACAGCCCATGAAATTATGTATCATTAAATTTTAATTTATCAAACATTAAATTGACATAGCATATGTTGTGCCCTACTTGGCTCTGCTCACACCTCCTGCAGAGATATTAAGCACAGTGAAAAGATACAGAAAATAACAGAATTTCTGTACCTTTAATAATTATGTAAACAAAGCAATTGTCAACATATGTAATTTATCATACCAGAGAGACATACCAAATGTTCTCTTCTACACAGCTGTTAAAAGTACAAATGTCCTGTCTTATTTTTCTAGATGGATTTAATCTTTTCAGACAGTTGTATTTGTGGCCTTAGAATGAACAATTCTTAATGCAACACTTTTCAGAGGCCTTTGGGAAAAGGCAGTAGTTCTTTGTCCAACAAACAATCTTAGATTTAAAAGAACAAATGAAATAGCAAAGAAATGGAGAAAGTTGAACTACGAATTACCTTTTGGAATCAGTTATACCATAATTGTTTCATGCTTTGTATAAAAGACTTACCAAAGCAAACACTTTTTGAATCGACAAAACTAGATAGCCAAATAGAATCATCCAGCATTTTTTTTCCATGCTAATTAAACAAAGTAAGTTCTTAGGGGAAAACATATTTCTCTAAGGTTTGGTGCAGCTGCAGCAGCTGAGGCTTTGGTGTGTAATAGAAAACTTGGAGAAGTTCATCTTTCTATCTTTGAAGCTTCCAAGCCCTATAAATTTTTCCATTTCAAGATCTTGGCTAGTCAGTCTTTTTTCTGTTAACACACAGGATTCCCAGAGGAGATAATATAAAGTATACATTCCTTCCAGCATACACTTATTAGACTGGAAAGGGATGATTCCAGTTTTCTAGGAATGCATGAGCAAGTTAATGATGATGACATCTATGCACAGTGCTTTCTACTAAGCATTGTGGTTGCATCAAAGTTTATTCAAGAACATGTCCCACTAATTTCAAGGATAACTTGTCCTGTCATATAACTTGCCTGTATGTGTGTAGGGTTTATTTCAAACCTAAACATCTCTACTTACTCAACGGTAAGAGTGTATCAGCACAGCAACATAAAATTGGAACCATATTTTTACAAAATTATTTGAAACAACTTCAAGAAGAGAAGCTATGTCAAAGTGTCTAGGAAGACTTGAATTAAGAAAAATTAACAAAAATAAACAGTAATTTATAATTCTATTCCTGCTCTATTATTTTATGTGAAAATATTATTATTTTTATTACTGGAAAAATGTAAGTGAAAAATTGTCATCAAAGCAGTTGACTCCACAGTAATGGAAGTCTTGTTAATATTTAGTTACAAGTTAAAAAGTTAACAAATTTAAGGATATGGGCCTAACTTGCACTCCCTGGACTAATGCTTGTTTCCTTTTCTTCCTCAAGTTTATATTATCTTCAACTCACAAAAAATATTAAAAAGCAGAGAAGATGGGAATTTAGTCTGAAAGTACATATTTTATCCTAAAATTAATACACAAGACTTTTAATGAAAAGATGTATCCTAAAATGCATGTTTTTATTTATATAATTTCTATTCCCCTTTTCATCATAAATGTTATCCCAAAGCAGATTGCACACAAATATGAGTGTTTTGTTTAAAAATGCACTAAAATAGTCCATTTTTCTTCTTTATTTAAACTGTTGCTTGATGCAAAAAATAGGACAAAATGGACTTGTAAATGATATGAACGCATCCTATGAAACTGTCAGCATAGAAATAGATTCATCTGAACATCACTATAACTCTGATAGTGTAAATGAAAATCAGTTTAGAGCAAAAGGAATTATGTAAAAATCAGTATTTTCTACCTAGTTTGGGGATTTCTCCAGCTATGTAGAACATGGAAGTATTTAAGTTTGTAAATTAATATTTTTAAAAATAACTTGATTTGGACCTTGTGTCTCAGGGTGAAGTGTGCTGAAGTGTCACTTAAGGAAGAAAAAAGAAATTAAGAGGGAAGATTTTGGAGGAATGGGAATTAAGCTGGGGTAATAAAGGCAGTGAGGTTTTTAAAAAACAAGTATCTATGAGCTATACAAGAATGTATCAGAAGGAAAAAAAATATTTTGTTTCATTGCCCACTCTCTAGAAACATACTTGGAGCACTGGCCTATAGCAATAACATGTTCATGTTTGGGGCTGTCCTAAACCTTAGTTATTTAATTTAGTTTAATTTAAAACCTTACAAAATGTATTTATTTAATTTATTTAAAACCTTAGTTATACAGCATAATGGGGGTGGGGGTGGAATCCTCTTCTCTTGAAAATCCCTATCCAAAGGCAAGCTGAAGTCAAAAATTCTTGCAAATCATGTAGTAGACATAATAAAGGAAAAGCAGTTGCTTCCTTTAAACCAGTCTGGTACACTCAACTTAGTACCTTTCAGATATTTTGGGAATGCAATGCCCCAAATTCCCAGGCAATGTGCTGTTAGTCGTATTCCTAATATATCTGCAGGGCACATGATTGCTAAGACTTCTTTATATCAAACAGCTAAGCTTACAATCCTGAAAAAAGTCTTTTATATTTAGGTAAGTGAGAACAAATGTTCATATATTGCTATTACAGAAGATTTACTGTTACTATAATGCCCTGGTTTGCTTAAATGTATTGTTTAAATCATAAATATATATATTGTACCCCATCTTGACAGTTTTTGTAACCAAAAAATTAAGTCTGAGTTGAGCTTAACCAAAAAATATAATATAAATCTAAATAAGTAGATATATCACACTAAAAATAGGATTTTCGACAGAAGATTTACTAAGTGTAAGACTTAGGGCTGCACTATAAATATCACACCTACCTACCAGGATATATAGTGTGTTAACCAGTGAAGCTTACAGCCAAGTAGGACTGCAAAGAAATATAAGACTCATAAAAGACTGCAAATATCTCTTGCAGCTCAAGCCCAGGCATATTTACTTAGATATTTCATGGTATTCAACAGGAATAATACTAACATAAAAATCTGTAGGATTATCATTTTAAATATCTTAAGGACTAAAGTTCTAGTTATTTTGGAAGTCCTTGGATTTGAAATAAATGAGCATTCTTCATAGTTAAATTCATAATATTTTAAAAGTAATGAAGAGTAACTATTAATGACAGTCCAGTCTGAAAGAGACTGAAGTGGACAATTGCAAATTACTATGGTGGCTTTCCAGGATATAATTCAGACACATTTTCAATCACCTTTGCAACTGGTAAGAAATAATACCAAAAATTAGACTGATTTTAAATAATCTGACCAGATTTACTTAGGTTTTTTAAAAAAATCTCTAAATAATCCCAACTCTGTGTATTTTCTTAAGCATCAAAAAGCATAATAAAACAACCTGACGCAAATTGTCAGTGTTCTGGATCTTTCTACTCAAAGTCAACATTATTTCTTTCTTATTACAAGAACAATTTTGTTGAAATCCTGGCCAGTGTGCTTAGTTTTTTTGTCTGTGTGTGAAGAATCTGTAACAGGCCATCAGTATAAACTCAGAATAGAGTATTATATAATCTGATCCTGCTACATCTAATCTGCATAGGATTAGGAAGCGCAAATTATTTTTCCCTTCACCTTCATAGTATGCTCCAGTGAAGATGATCAGGTAAACCTTATTTATACAAATTATCTGACCAAGTCCTTGCGCTGTTTTAATCCTTGGCATGAGAATTTTATCAGTCCCTTAGGAAGATAAAGTAATTCAAGTACCATGGATGTTTGGGAAGAATACAAATGAATATTATTTTCTTTTTCTTGTAAAGATAGCTGGATTTCAAGCAATTACTTTTTCTAATGGAAAATTGAAATTATCTTTAAACAACTTAAAATGAGTTGAAATGTTAAATATAAAGGATACAAAGAATAAAAGAACTGGGAATACAGTGAGATAAATTTCTTTCAGTGTAACTGAATTTAATTTAGCTAATTTGAAAATAAAATAAAATAGAATTGTCATGAAAGTAAGAAACAAATGACCTTTGCTAAATGCTTACAGTCAGAAATCCTGAAAACAATTGTGGAACTATTCTTCTGTCCTGCAATAAAATGGGTATTTGAATGCTGATTTCCCTTTTTTCATAAAAGAACTCTAAAATTGCTTCATAGTATCTATATCATTAAATATGAATAACAATATCTTAGAATCTGGGTGACATGAGTATATCTGTGAATCATGTTTCACAAATATTCAACTTCCTTATTTTCAATAACAGAGTATTTTGCTTTTTTACCTATCAGGTTACAGCACGGGTCTTCTATGAACTTTTAAACTGTATTCTGTTTTGAATATACCAAGTGCACAAGACCCCTATCCAACCCCACCAATAACTGTATGTTTATCCAAAAACCAAAATGAAACACACACTTATCTCCCAAACTGAAATTATGTAGATGAATGTCTATTGTTTCTTTACCTCAAGCCATGTCATTAATTTAATTTACCATGACTGGAAAACTATAGATGACTTGGAACTTTGAAAATACATTTAAATCTATCAAAAATAGCTGTAGTTTAAAATATTTGTCTTCACATTATTAAAGCTACTGTTAAATTATATTTTTATAAATGCCAGGTACAAATAGATAAAAAGTAATAAATCATGGTATAAAAAGAAAGAAATACTTTCTTGGGAAAATGTATTTGCAATTCAACTGATCATATAAAACCATAAACTAAAAAAAGTTTATATTATTTTATGTGCTATGGTTTCACCATTCATTGCAACTACATTCCAGAATATTTCACAAGTTCCAGGCACAATGTCCTTGTGTGTGAAGCATAGTGATCACAACTTTTACACTGAAGTCACTCTCATAACAACCTCTCCAGAACTGTTGTCATCTGATGAATCCTCCTGAGGTCTCATTCGACTGAAGAGATGTAACAAAACATAGCCACATTGAAATCTTGGTGAAGTTAACTGTGTTGAATGAACTAAATTTCTGTTTCTCAATGCATTTAGTGGTAGCCACAAAGTCCTAGCTGTTGAGGATTCTCCTCGGCTGCTCTCTTCTATGTCTGTTGCTTTGTCATAATTTTGCACATCCCAGTGCAAATTGACAGCCCTCCAACGCTTAAATACTCTGCAGACTGATGCACCTTCATGTACAATAAGTCCTGAAATTAAAGGAAACAAATTATTGAAGCCCTTAGTTCTTTATATCTAATGTATTTTTTGTAAGAAAATACCATTAAAATTGAATTGCTGGTTTGAATCAAAGCACAAAGACTTGGGTTACGGATAACTGATTCCCACTTACATCCACTGTATTAAACATTTATATCCAGGTATATCTTCTTCTTCTTCTTCTTTTTTTTGATAACTTATAGTCTGAATTATTAATAAACAGAAGAAAGATAATGTTTTTACTTAAACTATAATAGATGTTACAATGCATTTAGAAGTCAGCATAAACTGGGGACCATTATTTTCACCACACCCCATGAACTGTAAGTTTAATAAGTAGCATTTATACATGATAGATATAGATAGATAGATAGATAGATAGATAGATAGATAGATAGATAGATAGATAGATAGATAGATAGATATAGCAAGGTTCAGAGGGTTAGGGAGCATGAGTCATCACCATTTCAGCAGAGATAGAATTATCTGCATAGTCAGAGAAAGGGTCATTTTCAAAAACCAAAGTAGTCAAAATAAGGCTGCCTAACACTGTTTCAGTATTTAAGACCCAGGCAAAGGCTTTTATTCAGAAGCTCCTAGTCTCCAACCAAGCAAAGTTGGCTCTATTTCGAATTAATTTTAGCCACTGGACTACTTAGAAAGAACAGTCTACTTCAGAGTAAACCATTAATCCCAAGGCATTCTTCCCAACAATATGGTATTTCTGTTTTTCTGTTCTCTGGTAGACAAATGAGAGATGGAAGCACTCTTACAGACTCTGTGCCTCTGTCCTTCCTTCAGAGTCTGAGTTTAAGGTAAGCAGAGTCAGGGATGGCTGAAAGTGACTCCACCAAGACCTCATAGATAGAGCCTCAGGATTACACTTGCTAGAAACTTAATCCTTACCTAGCGCTGCTTCTCTTTAGAGGAGGAATTGCTGGGGGTCTGTCATTTGCCCTCCTAGTATATACCCTCTCTAGTTACGTGAAAGCTGGCTTATTTCAATAATATAGGTGGAAATGGTTTGCCATTCTGGGAGAATCTGGGAGAATGCATATCTGAAGCACCTGAAAATGAGAAACCTTCTGGTCCTTTCCAGATACTGCACACATGAATAATAGAAATGAGAATTAAGAATCTGTACCACTTCATAATCTTCTTGTCCTTTAATAAGCATTGTTAGAGGATGAGAGACTGACATGAACAGGCTGGGAAGGAATATCAAGAACAGATGTGTAGTTATATGAATGTAGCTGGTATGCTACAGGATTAACTTGAGCAGTTATCTTGAAGGGTGCTATGAAGTGTGGGCTTAGATTTCTAGTCTGAGCACAAACCAGTAGATGATTCATAGAAAGGCAGACTTGTTACCAACTATGAAAAAGGTTCCATTTTGTTTCTTCTGGTCTGGTCTGTAAAGACATTACAGTCTTGTTTAGGTCATTCTTGACTTGTTCTTTCAAGTGTTGATGGACTGCTAAGAGTTCCTGCAACATCTAATCCACTGCAAGAACTGAGGAAGGAGTGACTATATTGGGAAAAAACAGAAATGAAAACCATAGTTTGCCTAGAATGGAGTGTTGCTGTGTGGAAGTATGCGGTTATATATATATATATTACTGATAATTAATGTAAGCAGATATATTGCTCCAAAGTGGCATTAATACTCTGCCCATCTAACTGCAGTGATATGAAGTAGATAAATTGAGTATTATAAACATTATTTTGAATATGCTATGCCTGAAACTTCCAGGAAACTAAGAGCCTCTGTTTTAAGGTTATGTATTCTGGGAGACCATGTAGCCAGAAAAGATACTTCAGGAATAATTGTGTAATTTCATAACTGCCAAAATTCAAATAACCACTAGATGGCAGCAAGGAAATACAAAAAACTTTCTTTGTTGCCATCTAGCTGCCATCCAGATTTTTTGCAGTTCAGATCTCACAGTCCTGGCTTCATGAGCTCTGGGCAAGGAATAGAAGGAAACTGGAAACATTCAACTGTGAACAAAATTGTATTTTGACCCAGATGACACATAACTTGAAAATAAAGTTCAAAACAATTAGTCATCTGTGCTTGAGGACAGAAGCATAAGAAGACCTGTAAGTTAACCAGGCAAGCTGTTCACTCACCTGCGTTTAACAGAGACTGTAATGTATTGGAGAATTTCTGCTCTAATTTGAGGCCACCAAAAGTCACTGGAGGTGCAAGGTCTCGTAGAATCCAAAGTGTCCAGTAGTCAGATGATCATGATATAATTTGATTTGATTTTATAACTCCCAGGGTTATGTTTATTTGGATTTGGTGATAAGCAATTTTGGATAGAGTACAAGGTAAAATGGAAATTGGCCTGGCTTAGCAAGTTCTTATAATTTGGCTTGAGAATTATTCTTGTTACTGATAAATACATATTTTCTCAAACACAAATGAAGGTTCCAGAATAATTTTGAAATTCTCCCAGTGCAAGACGGCGGTTTCCAGGACCTCTTCCTAGGCACTGCTGAGCTTGAGTTTGTATGACAAAATATCTGGTTTCTGACTCTGGACCTGTGGTACATAAGAGGTGATGAAATTAAAGCATGAAAAGAGACCAACAAGCCTGGCATTAGCTGAGCTTCTTAGAAGTCTGAAGGTATTCAAGATTATATTATTTTGTGTACTTGGTGAGAAGCTCATTCAAGAAGATGGCTTCGCATTTAAAAAGCATTCTTAATAGCCAGCAATTCTGTATCTCATATTGTATAGTTGAATTTTGTAAAACTGAGTTTCTGTGAATAGTAAACACACTGGTGCAAAATCTCTTCTGGGCCACAGGTTTATAACAAAACCAATTCTACTATATCCATGTTTATTACAAAGGAAATCTGATGGTTGTATAATGAAGAATCCAGTCAGAAGGGAATACATTCTTGAAATTTTGGAAGACTTGCTCAGCAGCCATCTCTCAAAAATAGATTATTGGACCAAAGTAAGTATGTACAGACTTGTGCTACCTGGGTGAAAGGGTATAAGTTGCCAGAAACAATTTACAGAGCCTAAGTACCTTTGTACTATCCTGATATTCTGATAGAGAGGAATTACTGAGATCTTAGGAGGATCCATTTTGATTCTTGCTGGAGGTATATATTGTCCTAAGATTTTAGACAGATCAAATACACATTTCTCCAATTTTGGACACAAATAAAGCTCACACAGTAGCTGCAAGAGCTGTCTTTACATGAACTCCAAAGTCCTTGAAGTTGGCTGAGTGATTCAAAATGTCATTTAAATAATTTACAAATCTGTCTAGGAAATCCCAGAAGATACAGTTCATAAAATGTTGGAAGATGACCAAAACATTGCACAGTTCAGTAGGCATCACTGTGTCTGATGTGTACCAGACTGTATGCACCTTAAAGACCTGATTTAGTATGGATAACTGCTCCTTGTAGATGCTCCAGCAGATCCCAAATAGATGTATGTGCTATTTTTCTATTTGTCCTATAATAGTTGCATAAACTGAATTCCATTTTTTTCTTAATAAATAAAATAAAAAAATATTTTTTCCTGAAGAAATCCAAAAAGCCTAGTAGTTCTGGTGAAAGCGAGGATGGTCTACCTATGGAAATATAGAATCTGGGAACAAAGTCAATGTCACAATAATGGCCTCTAAAAGGCAATTGATCTATTTTTTTGTCAAAGATATTGCTATGTTAAATTAGGTGTAGAGAATCATGGAGATAACCTTGAGGGAAATAGGCAAGAACCATTATATAAGTAAAGAGGGGTGAAACATTCCTTAAGTTCTAGAAAACAGAATAATATTCAGAAGAGATTCAGGCAGGCTCCTCCCTAACTGGAATATAAGAGGGAGTGGGTGTAAAGCTCAAAAGGGTTTGCAAGATCCTGATATTATAGACTAGCTCAGTAAAATATAGTTCTAGTCTTCCTGTGGAGTCTGTTTTCTGATCTTGTCTAATGAAGGGCTGACATTAAGGTAGCCAGGGCATAAAATGTACTGGGTTGAGGCTTGCATTTTAAAGATGTGAAGGAAACTTTGTCTTGGGACATGATATCTATAAATAATGTATGATAAACTTGGATGAGCTTGAAAGCATGTTATCTATTAGGCAAACAGATAGCTAGAGTTTTTTACTGTTACAGACCAGGTTTCATAATAAAATACATTAAAAATAAAATAAGAATAAAAACACAAAACAAGATAAGAATGTTACAGTTGGTAGTGGGTTCATCAGGGTGTTCAAGGAAACTAATCATATTGATCTGATAACAGTAACTGTACATCAGAAAAGATCAAAATTTCCCAGGTGTTTTACCAGGTAAGGAGTTATAAGGTAGGATCCTAGCATCCTTATAGTGGGTACAGTATAACAGGGCATGAGCGATAGTTTCAGTGCCTCTCGTCCGCAGGGGCACAGTCTTAGTTCATAAGGAATTTTTTTATATCGGCTCTCTAGAACTGCTGTGGAGAGAGCGTTGAAGCATGCTAAAATGGTACTCTTTGGAATTTGGAAGTGGTTTTATGATGTAAATATCTCACTGGTTTGAAAAAGGGGACTTGACTGCTCAGAAAAACATTCTTGGGTAAAGCAGACTGGTCCCGTTGGGCTTCTAGGCCTTTAATACATTGTTTAAATGCACTAAGTGCATACTCATAAGCCATAATTAAGAATGCCTCCTTAGAAAAGTGGAGGTGTTGGAGTTTTTGTAAAATTGTCCTGGTCCATACTGATTCAAAATTATCCTCAATAAGCAAAGAACACAGGCCTATGGGAAAAACAGTAACTTTAGCCAGTATGCTATGATGCAGGTCCATTCACCTATTTTGATTTTAATTACCCCTGCCTCTCTCCTTAATACTACATTTGGAATGCAAGGGGCTACCTGGAACATAGCCCTTAGGAATTTAGACTGGACCATTTACAAGGAGTAAATGTAAAGTCCCAGCTGGGCACTGAACAGTAGTTGTACATGAGCCTTAGCTGAATA